AGCCCCACGCGCGCTGATTGTCAAGTTCATGGACTTTACTCTCAAAGAAAGTGTCCTGCAACAGGTGTGGGCACAGAAGAAAGTTCTGTATGAAGGAAAACAGATTTTCTTTGACCATGATTACTCCCCGGAGCTTCAGAAAAAGCAAGTGTCTGTGCGGGCCGCAGTCTAACAATTAAAAATGAAAAACATAAAAGCAAAATGCTTGTATCCAGCACAGCTTAAAATAATTATGGATGGCAAGGAGAACATCTATACGACTATCGTAGAGGCTTTACCTGCACTTCAGGAGCTGGGCGTGCACGTGCAGGTGGATGAGAGGGAGCGGATTGAAGCTGAAATGTCCCGACACGCTGGAGCATGGCAAGAGGAAGACGGGGCAAGGATCCGGAGGAGCTGTTCTACGTAGAGGTCAAGGCTTCCCTGTGTGTGGACCACTGAATTCAACTTATGCTGAGTTCATATCATTCTGTTAGACATTATACGTTAGGAGAGAAACAACGAGGATTTTTTGTTTGTTTACTTTCGCTTTCATATTGGACGGACCGGTTAACAAGCGCACCTTTCCAGCCGCAGCGCACCGCTCCACGAGAGGGACGTCAGCAGCGCCAACACTGTGTGTTTTTCCCACGGAGGACCTGTCACCACCCTCCGCCCAGCAATCAACGGGGACTGGTTTTGAGTCAGGTTTGAAAAACCATCTTGACTAACTAATCCAGCTGGGCATGTGGAAGTTTAGTTTGATTTGTTTATTTGTTCAATTGTATTATTTCATTTTATCTTGAGACTAACTAGGGGCCACTCGATTAAGAATATTGCAATTTTGTATTATATTAATGTATATTTGACCAGGGTTAAGACAAATAAGAGCCAGAAAAAAATGCATGGATAGTTTAATTTGTGTTACTTATAATGTCAAAGGCTTGTGCAGCCCAATCAAGAGAAAAAAAGTTCTCAACCAATTAAAAAAAAATCAAATTGTTCAATAGCAATGTTACAGGAGAGACATCTTTCTGATGGGGAGCATATGAAGCTGAGAAGAGGTTGGGTTGACCAACAGTATAGTTCCTCCTCCTTAAACAAGTGAACTCCCCTTTTTCTCCCATTTCTTAAGTCAGTTTATTTTAGTCATGAAAAAACATTTTTGGATAAGGAGGGGAGATATGTGATGCTGATTGGGTGCATAGGTGGTACTAAAATTACTTTGCTCAATTTGTACGCACCAAATGAGGACTGCCCTGACTTTTTTAAAAACATTGCCCCTATGATAGCAGAACATTCAGAGGGTCTCATTTTGATAGGTGGAGATTTTAATTGTGTTTTGAGAGGGTCTGTAGATAGACTCCCAGTAGACATGGGGCGTCTGTGTAAGAAAGCTAAGACGCTCACTGCGATGATGAAGGAGCTACGTCTAGTAGATATTTGGCGTCATCTACATCCAAAAGAGAGGGACTTTACTTTTTTTTCACAAGAACACTGCAGTCACTCTAGGATTGACATGTTTATGATTTCAGGAACAGACAGCTATAGAGCTACTCAGTGTAACATTGAAGCGATAACCATATCAGATCATGCCCCGGTGTTATTAGAAATTATGATTGGGCCAAACAAACAATTCAAATATTGGAGAGCCAATGTATCTATTTAAATAATGAAGCAAATCAACAGGAAATAAGACAGGGTTTGACTGACTATATTGCATTTAATGACAAAGACGATGTAACACTTTCTATCCTGTGGGAGGGAGCTAAAGCTGTGCTGAGGGGCAATGTAATTGCACTTTCATCAAGATTAAAAAAGAATAGAATCTCAGAACAAACAGAATTGTAAAATAAGATAAAAGAATTGGAGAGTATCAACTATTTCAAAAAGTTGAAACACGTAATATACTGAAGGAAAATAAACGGAAATTGAATCAATCGACCTTTATTTAGACAGGTAAATCTCCTTGAGCCTCAAGGACTCATTTACAAGAGTTTGAATGATTTGTTAACTTATAGAGTCGAGGGCCAGTTACGTTTCACTAATCAAAAATACTATGAATTTGGTAATGGAACAAGCTGACTCTTAGCATTTCAGCTACGTAAAGCGCAGTCAAACAGAGTAGTCCATAAGATAAAATGTCCTCTTACTGGGGAACTGTATAACCAGCCTGAGGATGTTGCAAAAGCTTTTGCTAAATACTATCAAGATCTATATAAGGAAGAAAAACGGCTTGATAAAGATGAAAAAATTAAACAATTTCTCAAATTAATTAACCATAACCGTTTGAAGAACGAGGAGGCTGATCTGATGACCCAACCTATCAGGGAAGAGGAAGTCAGGAACAGTATTCTTAGACTTAAGAATAATAAATCTCCAGGAGTTGATGGTCTTCCAGGGGAGTACTATAAAATTTATGTACAGGAATCTTAAATCTTCAGACATTGGCACAGAAGGGAAACATCCCATCAATGTTTCTGAGCCTTGACGCTGAGAAAGCATTTGACAGAGTAGACTGGGATTTTTTACAACATACTCTAAGAAGCATGGGCTTTAATGACACATTTCTTAAATGGGTTCAGATCTTTTATAAAAAATCCTAGATCTAGAGTTAGGGTAAATGGCCACTGCTCTGAGTTTTTTCCATTGGGACGTGGTACTCGACAGGGGGATGCTTTGTCACCCTCGTTATTTGCACTCTGTATAGAGCCACTGGCTGAACTGATTAGGACTAATCCTCATATTCAGGGTATACGTGATGAAGCTAATGTTCAACACAAATTATCAC